AGAGAGAGAGAGAGAGTAAGAGGGAGAGAGATCAGGTGGTCCTGTAAAATATGGGACTCTGGGCGAGGGCCCTCTTGCCTGAGTCTAAAGATGGTGCCACATATAAGAATAACATCTATTGGATGTTGGGCATGGGGGAGGGAGGAGGGGGAGTGAGAGGAGGGAGGAGGGGACGGGTATATGCATACACAAAGTGTGCAATGTGCACCACCCGAAGAATGGACATATTTGAAACTCAGACTTGGCGGGGGCAAGGGCAACATACGTAACCTAAACATCTGTACCCCCATAATATGCTGAAACAAAAAAAAAAGAGAAAAAAAAAAAAGATGGTGCCATACACATGCTTACTGATTTTCTTCTCTTTTCCTTGTATTTAAAATAGTCACTTTTCAAAGATCTTTGCTTTTATCACTCTCCCGTCCCATCACCTCCACAGAAGGCATACAGCATCACATCCTCCATCAAGCTGTGCCCTGCAGTAGAAGGCTGAAGTCATTGTTTCTGTCTTGGTGCTCATGTGGTGTTTGTGGCTCACTTTTGTTACAGCATCCTGTAGATTTTTACTATATTCTCCTCTGCTATATCACAAGCTGTCTGAGAAAGGTAGAGTATCTAATTCATATTTATATTTCCCCAGGTCTAACACACTCTTAAATATATTGACTAAACTGTATTGAGTCAGATTGCTGGGCTCATATTTTTTAAGTTTATAGGCAAAATTAAATAGATTGTTTTCATATTATATAAAATTACATTACATAAAAAGTGTTTATTCTCATTAAAAGTCACTACGGGGACTCATAGTCCTATTTATGACCCTGCCCATCCTGTGGACATGTCTGTGGCTGCATGACAATCCACAGGTACAGCCCTAGGAAAAGACAGCTGGGCTGAGATATGTGTACATGCTGAGGGAGAAGAGCTCCTTTCGTAAGGTTTTAGCCCATTGGGAGGCACTATAGGCATTTTCTTAAACTGAGGTACTACCCTAAGGGATCTAGCAGTATAGTTGTTGAAAGATTTGAGAAAGTCGTTGAGTGTAAAGATGGGGACTAGTAACAACAAAGAGGGAAGAATAATCATGTGTGAGGACAAACTTAATCATTATTAGCCATAAGAACCATGGTTTTGCTGAATATTGCTTTCAATTGATAGCTTTGTCTTGAAAACAAGAGCAATGGTTGATAAGAATATTCAAGGACTAGATTATAACTTTAAT